TTGAAGTAGCGGGGGAAATTCCCACATTGTGCTTGTGCTTCGCTTTGTCTCCATTGGATAATTATGAAAAATACAGCTTTCCAAGCATGTCATTTGTTCTTCTTCAACTTAAAAATTTCTCTTCCACCTCATTCTCCAGGCAGTATTTTTTACTTCATCTCAATTGTGGAAAACAAAAATATTAATATCTTCTATTTCTGGTACTAAAAGAAAACAGAGACAAAACTTTCCAATTTAAAACTTTCTCACCAACAAAATAAAAGGACACAATGAAATATTTTTTTCTCCAGCCAGCTTGAAAAATTTCAAAAGGAAAAAAGCCACCAAAACAAAAAAATTCAGTAGTTTCCTCCCCGAGCTGATGGAGATCTCTCTGGAGGAAATGTGTCCGATAAGCTAAAGTAAAGCCGCCTCCCCTGCTTTATCTCAAGCAGCGTGTCAGATGGGTATTTCTAGCAGGATCTCTTCTGGACACTCAGAGCATCAAATTACTCTCCCATCCTGTACTCCTCTGCTGAACTGTTTCGGAGCTCCCGGATCAGCGGCACACACCGGAGACGCCAGGCAGCCACACTGCAGCGGGATGTGGCCCGTGGCCGGAGGGAAGGGCTCTCACCGAGGGCAGGCAAACATGCATCTCTGTCCTTCAACCCATCTGCTCCACTGGAGAGCGCTGGGGATGCCCCGGGAGCTGCCCACCGCTCCAGGCCATGCAGTGTGGCTGGGAGAGCCGCATTTCATCAGGGCTTTTTCGGTCTTAGGAAAGCTGCTTCAGTGCCTCAGTTTCCCCAGTAAATGTTGCAAGCAGCCACCTCACTGCTGCCTTTCCTAAAGCAAGCATTGACCAGAAATACTGGCATTTCCTGGCATTAGAAGCACCTCAATTCACTCCTAAATCCATAGCCAGCGGCCCTTGGTTCTGCCCCCACATGGGGCCATGCAGGGAACTGAACCCCTGAAAGCATCCAGGCCCCAAAACGCCCCCTGGCTTGGGCTGGACACCAGGTGCCACCCCTGCTGGGTCCACATTCCCCACCTCGGGGTTTGCTGCTAATATCCCCGCTTGCCCTGGGAAATAACCCCCTCGGCTGCCATTCCTGGGGGATGAACCCACACCTCCATCCACCAGCTCCCTCCAGGCTTTGCATCCAGGCACTGCCATGGGGATACCCATCTCTGCAGCAGAGAGGGCCAAAAGGAGCCCAGCCTGGAAATCCACACCTAAAATGAGGCCAATTACCCCTTAATTGATGCCGCCCGCTCCCCAGTGATTAATTGTCAAGAGAAACCATGTCACATTTTGCAAGCCCAGACTCCAGCGCAGCGACACTGCGGGTCCTTTATCAGCCCCGGGGCCAGCCGTGGCACCAGCCTGTCTGAGCCAGCCAGGTACCTCCACGTCCCAGGGCTTGTTTGTTTTGGTGTAAGCCTGAGCGTAATTGGGGCTAAAGAAAAATACCCACAGCAAAACAAATGTGGCGCCAATGATGGACACAGCCCTGCAGCCAGCAGGAAGACGGATGGGTGGAGAGCCTGTCCCGAGAAGCCCAGGTGGAGATGCTCGGGAGAGTTCAACACATGGCTGTTGAGCGTGCAATTAATTTCCAGCGGTCCCTGTGAGAGTGAGGGACCCTGGCCAAGCACCTCCTGCAGCCTGGATGTGCCCAGGGCTGGAGGAAGAGCCCCACTGTATCCCACTCTGCCCTTCCAGCCCGGGGAGCAGGGCTGCCTGCACCAGCCATGGGACTTTCTCCCGGCTTTCCTTGCCCTGGCTTCCCCCAGCACCACCCTGAATAATTCATGTACGAGACAGAGAAGAGGATAAATCACAAGTGATGATTAACATGAGTTATTTTATGTGCTGGGAAGATCTATTGGCCTGGGTCCTCCAGGTTGCAGTGATTAATGCAGCGCTGCTCCCCTGGACAGAAGCCCTTACATTCAATTACAGATGCTGGGGGGCTCCTGGACAGCAAGAAATCAGAGACGAGACTGACTGGGGAGACCCCAGGCCACTGTAAGAGATTTTGAGTGGATCCGCCCCGTATTAGCCTCAGTCAGGTTTAATGGGGTTCAGACAGGTTAAGAAACCAAACACACAGGAAAATCAGGCACGCTCTAACATTCCCATGCATTTGCGATTTAGTGCAAAGCCATCAAAGCCGGTGCTTAGGTCACGTCCATCACGTGAGCCTGCAGGTTCATCGGGCCAGCCCTGCGATGCCCTGGGAGCAGACTAGCCCGGGGTGCAGAGGCTATTTTAAAAATAATTAAAAAAAAAAAAAGAGCAACATCCTGCCTTGATTAAAATTAATTAGTTAAATAACAATTAATTAACATTAATTACTTAACAAACTGAATGTTATTTTAATTCCTTGGTAACAGCTGATTCTAAATGCCCTTTTTCGCCTACACCCAGGGCTGCCTCTTGCGATGTGCCTGTTTCCAGGTTGGCCTGGGAGCTTTGCTCTTTCAGGGCAGGATCCCTCCTGTGCCTTGCAGGTACCAATTGATTCCTTTCTGATGACCAGCAGCCTTACAGAGATGCTTCCTCATCTGCTGAAGGGCCCAGAGAGGGGAAGCGCTGGGGGATTTCAAAGCCGAGCCCTTACCAAGCTCACAGGTGTCAGATGCAATGCGACGCAGTTTGCTCCCAGGCTGGCTCTGCACAGGGGCTATTTTTTGCTGTTTGAGCCCTCTGACTCCTTCCTCTCGTATGGTTGGCCTTGATAACAAAACACCTGCTTATTCAGATTTAGACCTTGCTAACCAACACCACCACCAAATTCAGGACCAAGAAAGCCACCACTGAGCCATCTCAGTGTGGTTAGGCTATACCTACGTATTTTAGAGACTTGATCATGTCAGGCCTGCAGCACCCATTGAAAAACAGGGAAGAGGCTGTGGCTGCAGACCCCTCGGTGGCAGACCCCCCTGCCCCGCTCTGTCGGCCCCCGCTTCCCCCCCGCCCCAGCAGCCTGGCCAGGCTTTCATTCCCCACCGCATGGCACGGTGATCTGCCAGGGAGGAGTTGTATTAGCCCAAGCCATTAACACAGAAAGTTATTAGTAGGCTCTTGGGCAGAGTCTATTTTCATATTCATTTGGCTAATTAAATGTAAATCATTGCTTGGGATTACCACGAAGGATCCCAAGCCCCATTAGCTAGCCTGTATTCACAGGGGAGAAAGGGTGTCACCCCCATGCAGGGGTGATTCACAGTCACACAGGATAAGCCCAGTCTGCCGTGGCAATGAGTGGCTCTGTCACCCACAGGTGACGACAGACACAGGGGGTGATTGGGGTTACTTGGGCTCCGAGGAGCAGGCGCCGCTTCTTTCCACCCGCGGGGTGTTTAAAAGAGGTGACATCTGGCCATGGCTCTCCGCGATGGCAGGGCTCGGAAGATGTTCTGTGAGCATCCCAGCCATGATCAATACTTGGAGCCTGCTGGCCCTGGCTGCCCTCCCCAGAGCCCAGCAGAGCATATGGGTGTTCCCAAGCCACCGGCTAGTGTTGCAGCAGCTTTTAAGATGTCACCGACCTCCTCACGGGGACCCTCTGCCAGTCACGTTGGCTGAAGCAGTGGGAGAGTCTAGGGACCTCTCCAGGGTCACACCACCAGCCTGGTCCCCATGCCCATGTTGGTACCTGGCACATCACATGGCAATGCTACAAAATCGCCAGCAAATGGGATTCTCCAAGAAGGGCTGCAGGTGGGACTAGGAGGGGCAGAGATGGATGCCCTGGGAAGCAGTATGGGGATGCTTCCCTGTGGCCGAAGCACTCGCAGGAGGGACATGGTCTCTCCAGTGAGTGCTGGCCCCCTGCCTCTGTTTACCATGTCCTCTGTGTTTGTGTCGGGGCCTCGCCGCAAACAGCAGCACAGCTGGATCTGGTTTCACTCCTTTTCTCAAAGCAAACAAACACAGACAGCATCGCCCACTGTGTCAGCTTGAGGGGCACCAGGGAGGCGGGCAGGCTTCATCCACCCATGGACACTGCACGCAGCCAGCCCTGAGCCAGCTTGGGTGCTCCAGGCTGCACCCACTACGTCCCTCTCCTCGGCCAAAGCCCCTCCTTGCATCCTGCTGGTGGGAGAAGCCAGCCTGTATCCCCATG